TGCCCTGAAATATGAAAGGATACCCTATTTGGTTAAGAAACACCCTCTGGGAACATATCATCTTAGATGGACACATTGCCAAATGTGATCACACTCAAAATATCACTTGTTAATTTATACATATAACTAATGCTCTCTCTGATCTCTCTTTTCTTTTTCAAACATCATAAAATAATAATTTTAGTCTTTTATATTGCTTGGCAAGATCTATATCTCAACAGGAAGAGGTTCACTTTTTTCACCGCAATGTGGTCTGAAAAAATCACCAAACACATAAATTAAACACAGAGACTAAGCTCTGATTTCGGCTACATTTATTTATAAAATGATCACTGAGAGAAAAATAGAAGAGACACATTGTTTTTCCAGCAAGAAAAATCGGTGAAGAGAAATTTCACTAATTGCTGTCAATCTCAAAAAAAATGGGACGTATGTACATAGATACATGCAGATGGACGGACAACCCGAAAACAATAATCTAGCAATAATAGTCTAGCTCTGGTTGTCGCCTGTGTGGAGGCATAAATAGTACTCCTTGAAATTTAAAATTAAAACACTTTGGTATTATAATCATGTGACCAACATTCAACGTCAATCCAAAAAACTCCTTTTCAGCCGAGAACTGGCTCATTTATTCAGGTTTAGTACCCTGACTCAGTATTATCGCGTGTCTGCTAATGCTCCAGTCATATATCAGGGATTATGTTTCTGTTTGAAGGCATAATGTGGTGTGGGACTACAGCCAGAGGGTTAGATTTCCAGACACATGACAGGACAACTCTACAGCAACTGATATGCCCTTGAAAAAGGAAGTGAACCTCTGTTTGAAGCTGATTCCGTGTGTAAAGGGCTACAGTTCATTGCAAGGTGCAGCAGCTGCTTGTTCCTCCACACTGTAAAAAACTGATAACAGTTTAGTTTTGGCTATAGTAATAACTCTCAACCACATTAGGACAGTGGTGGAAATCCAGTGCACTGGATTCAAAACAACAAAAACTGCAGCTGAACACTTAAAACATGCGCCTGAAAAGGCAAACCAGTACAAAAACTCTTGCATCACTGTGATCTAAAAATACCTTACACAGGAATTGGCATGTGTGATTCATTCTCAACAAAAAAAGTACGTTATGAGCTTCACAGATGTGGTTTTTGCTGTAGGCTATACCATACTTTTTTTATTGGATACAAAATATACTATGTTGCATTTAGGGAAAAAAAACAAGCTTTAGCTCAATGCAAAATTTACAATCTAGTTCACTAATTCAACAGTACAGTATATACAGAGGTGGACAAAATACACAGCATCATTACTTGAGTCAAAGTATAGATCCTCCTTTTTAAGCATTCAACTTTTTTTTTATGTCAACACATTGGATTGTTCCACAGTGTATTTACAGAGCTGAATGACTCAACCTAACAACCTACTGAATACACCTGTAGAACCTGTAGAACAATAAGCTTGTAGGATATTCTATGAAGCCTGTAGATATGGCCATAAAAAACAATTGAATCAACAAATGGACAGCTATTGTTGTTTTTGTATTCCTTTTTCTTTAGGAAGTGATGAAGTTTGGCTGTGGTAAATACAGTAAACGTTTAAAACTAAATGAATCTTTCTTTATTTTTTAACCTTCAAACACGGACTTCAGGTCAGACCCTGGTCTCTGGTGAAGAATCTTCTGCCTCATCTTTATCTAACGTCGCCTTTGTTAAGACACCGACAGGTTCAAACATGACTGACGGTGGAGGAAATGGCTGTGACTGGTTTTTCTCCTGCGATGAACACAGTGTATGGTCAGACGAAATTCTTTCCACTGATTAAAAGCTCTGCTTTAAAGTAAGAGTACTAGAGTATTTCATAGAAATGTAATGGCATTAAAAGTACAACATTTGTGTTTTGAGTGTAGTAGATTAAAAGTCATAAGTTTCCAAAAAAAAAAACAATACTCAAGTAAAAGTACTTCACTACTGTCCACCTCTGAGTATACAAACATCATAAAGGAATGCACCGGAAATACTGACACACTGCAGTTTATACATAACACATTTCCAGACATCCTGTTATGGCTGCTCTTGTATTCCAACAAACCCAAAACATGATTCAAAAAGTTCAAAAATAAAAGAGCAGTCAGTGAGGAGGAGGGCTCACTAAAACAAAATGAGCACGCACGGAGATGGCTAAAAACTAAAAACTTGGTTTTTATTTCCATAAACAAAAAACGATCTCCGGTTGACTTTCAGTATATAAACAAATAAATAAACAGATAAAGAAACTAAGGTTGACTTTGAGTTTAGAGTCTTTACTGTTATTGTTAGCGTATTTAGCGGTCGAAAAACTGTATCATCTCCTCCCATGCCTCACTCAATCCATCAAGCGAAGAACACAAAGAAACCAGCTGTGGTCCCTCTGTAATCATGGGCGGCAAGGAGGAGGAGGATCCTAATCAACAATCCATTACAATAATAACAATAAATATTAATTCTTTCTTAATTCCTTTTCTTATTTTATCCATAGAAATTAATTTTCAACTTAATTTACAAATAATCCAAAAACAATTATTATGTTAAACCAATATTTAAGTTAAGTCAATAGGCTCCAACACATCCAATTTGTGGAAGTTGATCCCTCATCAATGTTATAAAATGAGATAAAGCTTTTCTTAGTTTTAACTTTCTGATTACATGATTGAGATGTATCTTGTTACTACATACTACCATGTTCATCAGTATTTAGTGTCACTCCCATTGAATGTACATGGAAATTTTTCAGACCTTTTCAAGTTTGCTATGTTTCAGACTCACCTTAAAATGGATTCAATTAATTTTTTTCCCTCACCAATTGACACACAATAATCCACAATGACAATTCAAAAACTGTTTTTTTGGAATGTTTTGTAAATTTAATCAGAAATAAAAAAACTGAAAAATCCAATTGATGCAAGTATTTGTTATGACACTTGCAATTTAGCGCTGGTGCATCCTACTTAAATCAGTTGTCCTTGAGATGCTTCTGCAACTTGACCAAAGTCCACTTTAATTGAACTGCTTGAGCATACTTAGGAAAGACACGTGTCTATATAAGGTCTCACAGCTCATGATGTGTCAGAGTGAAATCAAAGGAATGAGGTTTAGAGACCTGTCCATAGACCTGGCAAGACTGGATTGTGCAAAGGCAGAGATCTCAGAGAGGCTACAAGAAAATTTCTACAGCATTGAAAGTGTCCAAGAGCACTGCAGCCTCAATCATTCTGAAATCGAAAAATGTTTGGAGCCACCAACACTTTCCTCAGAGCCTTGGTCAGGAAAGTAACAAAGAACCCAAAGGTCACTATGAATGAGATGCATGATCTATGAGTTTCTTCCCGAACCATACAAAAGGACAACAATCAGTGCAGCACTCCGCCAACCAGGCCTTTATAGCATAATGGCCAGATGGAGGCCATTCCTCACTAAAAGGTTCACAACAGCCCACTGGGAGTTTGTCAAAAAAGGTCCTTGAACAACTCTTAGACCATGAGAAGCAAGATCCTCTAGTGCTATGACAGGACGTTTTTAGGATTTGGTCACAGTTCCCAGTGATGTGTATAGAGGAAACCAGGCACTGAGCATTAACTCATTGATACCATCCCTCACAGTCAAACATGGTGTCGGCAGCATGATGCCGTGGGGACATTTTTAGACAGAATAGAGGGAAAGATTGCAGAAAATCATAGAACAATCCTGAGTGCTTTTCTAGACTGCTCAGATTTCAGGTTAGGGCGCAGGTTTACATTACTGTCATTCCAGGAGAGGCTACGGGAAACTGAAAGTTCGGTGAATGTGTTTAATTTGATTGTGTTTTTACTCCACAGTGAGCTACACTAACAAAGATACACAGAACACACTGTAGTGTTGTGACTGAGCGATTAAGAGACAGAGACAGAAAAAAAATTAAAGAGAGACAGGGACAGAGATTGTCTACCCACCAAAAGACTGAAAAGCACCAAAGGTCTTTACAACAATTATTGTTTGGAGTAAATTAAATTTGCTCTGCCACAATAAAGTAAAATACCAAGAGTGGTTCACTCATCATTAATTGACAATGCCTCAGCCGACTGAGAAAACTCTAATGTGGTGTATTTGCATGTTAGCTGTATTGCAGAAAAAGATGAACATATGTTTTAACTCTTGCAAAGCACATCCTTTTGCAAATTTCCGTGTAGGGTTAACATGCAACATGAAGATGTGCATGTCTGTTATGTGCCATCCTTTTGAGCAATATAATTCTCATCTGTTCTGTTAGTTAACTCAAACTTTCATGTACCTCATCAGTTGTTTGATATGATGTTAGACGTTAAAGGATAAGGATGGCAATGTTCTGTATTTGATCAACAAATTAAAAGACCAAAACCAATATTGAACTGATCCTACTGACAAGTATTGTTTGTATATCAAAATTGTGAATTGCTCTTTTCTCTTTGTCATTGTGACGACCCTCTCTAAGCAGGCCTCTCCCTGCAGGAGCCTGATGGGTCGAGTCTGATCGTCAGGAGGATTCAGCTTACCTGGACACAAAATGTGTATTAATCTGCAGCTGAAAGTAGTCCCCAACAAATGCACCATTTACTCCTGTTTGAGTTTTGTAGATTCTTTTTTCTGAATCTCTTTGTCTGAGACCACTTTTTCATTGTATATTGTATATGCATTTAGTATTCAGTTAGTGTGAACTTGATATTAATGTAACTCTTAGGAAAGTTTGATCTAATCAGATATTAAGAACAATTTATCAGAAAAGACTCCTGGTAAAATTTTAATTGTCACTTATGTTACTTAATATCATCTGATTGAAATCAATTTTCCTGAGTCCTAAGCAGCTGCCCAGGGATTAACACCCTACTATAACTGCTACCCTGCTACAGTTACCCTAACATGAGAAAGCCAGTTAAATCACACCACCACCACTCAAACAATAACCAGTAAACACAGAAAGGGGGAGTGAGTAGAGATGGCATTGTCAGCAATTTATTGATATTTTGCAAGCAGAAAAACAAGACTTAAAATGAGCCACACAACCAGTAAGTGGGAGCTAACAAGCAGCAGGGCAATGGGGTAAAAGTGTCGTGACGCCGGTTTGTTCTCTGTCACGGCGCCGGCCTCAGGATCCTCCCACTGCCCAATGTCCCCCTGGGTCAGCCGACTGCAGGGGCGCCCATCAGAGTGAAACAGAACGACCAGAGATAGATAGATAGATCAAAACACTGTGGTGTTAGTACAGTCGAGATGCTGTCTAAGTGGGTCTTCTACCACAGATTGATCACTTGAGAGCCCAATCAGGCCGGTGCCAGAAGGCCCACATAGACAGAGCCATTAGTACAGACTTTGCCTCAAAAAGCCACAGACAAGCAGGCAGTGATGGATGGAGCAGAAATGTGAGAAACAGGTTCATGAAAAGGTGCACTGTAAGCCATGTAATAAAATGACTTGATTGGCTGAGGATGGAGGAAGGAGGCATGCAAACTTGATGAAAATTTAAAGGTAAAGGTTTCGTGTAGAATATTCTTTTATCACATCTAATCCAGCTGCTAAGCAATCACTACTGTTCACTATAGTTAGAGTAGATGACTCATGCTTACGGTTATGGTTAAACAGGTTTGTTGTGGAATGTGTTTGCTTTCCAGTATTTCCCTTTGGATAGAATTTCACTTCATTGACACTTTGTTGATGACAGACTTAAATCCCTGTTGGCAGGACTCAAAACATCATTATCAGACACTGAGAATGGTTTTCTTGGGATAATCAGCACCTTTTGACAAGTGCAGAGGTTCATTCATTTCACTGTTAGAGACAGTGGAGCAATTTATATACTCTGTTACTGCAGCAGTAACAGTCTGCTGAGCAACTAAGTATCACATGCATGCATTTTCTAAATTTAGACTTACTAGTTATGTATAACAATCTTGTCTAAAAGGTCAGAGGTACATGTAAGAATCACATGACAATATGTTGGCTCTTTAACTAGGACAACACAGACAAGCACATGTCTGGAGGTTTTAGCTGAGTCAAAGAAACAGCATAGATGAAATACCCGATGGCTGGACAGTCGAGAAGAATAGACCTGATTAAAAGACACTGTGTAATAACTCTGTAATTGCTTTTGCATGCACAGAACAGCAGATTACCTCAATGATAACTGCACGCTATGTAAAATAAAACACAATAATAAAACAGGTTTTAAAATGCTGCTGTAATTGTGCACAACGAGTCATTTATATCACGTGCAGCTGAACAAACCACAGGGCCACAGAATAACAATGGAGTAAACTGGTCCAGCCTCTCTAATCACCAACATGAAAGTCTTCCTTAATTTTATTCCAGACAAACAAACGAAAAAAACAAACAACTCCGGTAAAACAATTCACTTCAAAGATGAGACAAACATGCTCAACTTCCTTTGACTACGACAAGCCCAATTTCCGTCAATCACTGCTGAAGCTGCTCTACATGTTGTAGATGCAAACTGTGACTTTCCACCTGTTACAACTAAAGTCATCTTAAAACATTAAGCCTCAATTTAGTGTTTATATATTAAATCCAAACTAATCCTGGTAAAAGGCTTTTGTCCACGTGTCAGCAAAAAGACAATATTTGCCAATTTACGTCAAGATTTTACTTTATTCCTTCTGAACAACTCTTATCTACCTGTCTCTATTTTCCAAAGTTAAGTGTTACCTCACTTCAACACTAAATTAATATCAAATATTTATACTTATAAAAGTTTTATCAAGTATCAAGGTTTAATAGTCACTGTTCTCAACAAAAAATAAAAGTGTTCTGGTGTCAGAGAGGAAGACAACTCAGACGGTCAAATAGGATCAATTCATTTTGCCTGGAAGATATCACTGTAGATTATTAGAGTGCACTTTTTGCTCTAGATCTTCATCACCAATCGTCCAACATCACGCTTCAATAAAGATTCCACCACACAGACTTCCACATATCCACTACATTTGTCATCCCTTATTAAACAAAAGCATACATTATTACAAGTTTAAAGCTTTAAAGATGCAAATACAGTCATCTTAGAGGTAAACTGCATTCAAACAATTAACTACTGTGTGAATGCAGCACCTGCAGTAAGCCAGTGTACTACTGCTGTTCCACTCCTCTAAAAGAGCTGCATGACATTTATCCACAAATTTCAGACATCAGAAAGTATAGTCTGCCACACATACAGTAAATTCAGAAATTTGTGTAACAATATCTACATGTGCCCAGGGCCTCTTGGTACACACTTGCCAACTGTTACTGTGTTGGCAAATAACAGTTACAAAAAGAATGGTTTTTCAGAGTCGTAGATGCAGAAAACATTGAATCTATTATTAATACCACTTTTTTAGAGATAAAAACTGTATGAAGGCATTTGTTTTTAAGGTTGTAATGAATGATAAGTGACTATAATAATATGACCTAGAAAAACAAAACAACAAAAATTTCAAGTTGATTTATATTTTAATGTAATAATTCGAGAGACGAGGCGTATGGAAATGTGACAGCAAAAACATTAATGCGTGATAAACATACTGTATGGTAAATATAAAGTATATAGTGGCTTCAAACATAAATGTGTCTATCTTCCTTGTAAATAAAATAATCTATGAATTTTTTATGCATATAACTGTATATGGGAAGATCTGGTGGACTTGTAAAAGGACTGAGTAGTTTGTGATAGTTTTAAATCGCAAACCTACTGAGCTGTATTGTTTTTGATGTATCAAACATTTGAGTGAAAATTTATTTATTTAATGGACTGATTATAACTTTCTTCCTGGTCCTTTTAACCTTTCATAACCACTACATTTTCAGTTGTTTACTATGCAGTGCATTGTACCTGAATTATTTTTAAAGTCAAGATTCTGATTCAGTATTTTACTGACATATCAATCTTAATAGTTGATGGGAATTTGGTTTGGTGTGCTCATGTAAAACAAAACAAACAAAAACCTTGCTTCACACACAGTAACCACACTGGGACATAAAACAATAACAATAAGCCAGCCACACTATGTTGTCACAGGATGCTACCATGTTTCCCAGACCAAGTTCTTCATTTTTTTCACAACAGCTCTTTGAAAATGACCACAATGACGAAAAGGAAAGACAGAGAAATTTTGTTGTGTAATTGTGGAAGACATCAGGTTTTTTTTTTGTTATTTAATTTTGCTGGAGAGACAGCTGACAACTGGAAAGACAGTAACCAGGGCAGAGAGGGCCAGCAACCCAAACTGCAGCTTCCGTGAGGGGGCACCCACAAGCAAGCTACGGAAAACCCTACTGGATTATACCCCCAGGGGTGCCCGAGAGGGGGGGGGGATGAGCACCCCAACAGGACGGACAAACAGGCTACGAACCATGCTAACGGAAAAACGACAACAAGCGCAGTCTGTTTATGTGGCAAAGTCTGCAAGAACCAGCATGGCCTGAAGATCCACCAGGCCAAAATGAAATGTTTGACACGGAAGCAGGTGGAGCAACGCACAGGTCCAGTACCTGGTGAGATGCAGGAGGAGCCCAGCAGTGCCCAGACCCTCCGCGCTCCACAATCCCCACCCTATGTCAGGCATTCAGAACACCGCCGGGTCATGTGGCCTGCTGCCAACAAGGAAAGAGAGTGGCTCCAGTTCGATGAGGACCTGGATCAAGTCCTTGAAGCTGCTGCAAGGGGAGATGTTGACCAGAAGTTGCGGACGATGGCCGCAATGATCATCAGCATTGGTGTCGAAAGGTTTGGCACAAAAGAGCAACAGCCAACCAGAGGTCGAGGGGAACCAAATAGATGGGAGGTGAAGATAAGCCAGCTTCGGCAGGAGCTTAAATCTCTTGGGCAGCAGTTTAAGCAGGCAAGGGAGGAGGAGAAGGCCGGGCTGGCAGAGCTCCGCAGCATCCTGAGGAAAAAACTCACCACCCTCCGTCAAGCCGAGTGGCATAGGAGGAGGGGTAGAGAAAGAGCCAGGAAACGTGCAGCCTTCATCTCGAATCCTTTTGGCTTCACCAAGAAGATCCTCGGGCAGAAAAGAAGTGGCCACCTTGCCTGTACTGAAGATGAGGTTAACAAATACCTCAGTGCCACCTACAGTGACAGTGCAAGAGAGGAACATCTTGGGCCATGCAGGGCCTTAATAACTCCACCAGAACCCACCGTAGCATTTAACATCAAAGAGCCAACTTTAAAAGAAGTTGAGGGGGTTGTGAAAGCTGCTAGAACCAGTTCAGCACCAGGCCCCAGTGGAGTGCCATATGTTGTCTACAAGAGATGCCCCAGACTCTTGAAGCGGCTGTGGACCATCCTAAAAGTCATCTGGAGAAGGGGGAAGGTGGCACAGCAGTGGAGACATGCAGAGGGTGTTTGGATTCCAAAGGAGGAGAACTCGAGTACCATCGAGCAGTTCCGGGTCATCTCACTCCTCAGTGTTGAGGGCAAGATATTTTTTAGTATCGTTGCCCGGCGCATGACGGAGTTCCTCCTGAGGAACACCTACATCGACACCTCGGTGCAGAAGGGTGGAGTCCCAAAGGTCCCAGGATGCATCAAGCATACAGGAGTCGTCACCCAGCTGATTCCGGGAGGCGCCCGAAGGCAAAGGAGACCTGGCAGTCCTGTGGCTCGATCTTGCCAACGCCTACGGGTCTATTCCACACAAGCTGGTGGAAATCTCGGTGGTACGACACCACGTTCCAGGCAACATCAGGGACCTCATACTGGATTATTACAGCTGCTTCAGTTTAAGAGTCACCTTCGGAACAGTAACATCTACATTTCATCGGCTGGAGAAGGGCATTATCACCGGATGCACCATTTCCGTGATATTGTTTGCCTTGGCCATGAATATGGTGGTGAAGTCAGCAGAGGTTGAGTGCAGAGGCCCACTCACCACCTCCGGTATGCGGCAGCCCCCCATTAGAGCATATATGGATGATCTGACAGTGACTACAACATCAGTCCCGGGCTGTAGATGGATCCTGCAAGGCCTTGAGCGTCTCATTAGCTGGGCCCAGATGGACTTCAAGCCAGCAAAGTCCAGGTCCCTGGTTGTGAAGAGGGGGAAGGTTACAGACCAGTTTCGCTTCTCTATAGGAGGCGTCCAACAACAACACTGATGATGTGTCTAAGTTGCACCAAGAGTGTTTATTAAAACTTGTCCTGACTACTACAACTACTTGTCTGGATTCTACAACATGTTTATCAAATCATTTGGAGATGGAGTAAATGAACATAATTATTTTAAGCTGCTGCCAAGGTTAACTCATAAACAGTGATGACTCTCACTTTATGAATATTGGTTATTGTGTAACGGTAAGTTAGGGCAATTGAATAAGTGTAGCGTACATACGTGGCCTGGCATCAGTCACAAGCCATTAAGGAAGTTCATTGTAAGGACATGCAGAGTTACGGACACACTCTTCCCACCATCAAACTATCAAATTGATAGAAAACGACAAGGACCCCTCTTCCACAAACAGACCATGCTTTTAGCATGTCCGAACGACACAGAACCAGACCAAAGGTCAAAGGGTCAGCTCCAGAGGATCAACCAATGGACACCAGACAACTGGAGAATATAGGCAAAATCTCCAGTTTGTAACAATAAGACTTTGTCTATTGATATTTGATTGTTTCTTGTATAGGACAAGTAACAACAAAAGGACTGATTAACACTAAGGTGTAAATCCTGGCTTGTCTGTGCCATGCATGAACACACACATCAACCTTCCTTCCTCTGTCCCTCTCTAGATAAGAGTCATAAACTACGACCCACATTCCAATCCTGGGTAGTGACCAGCAGAGCACTCTTCATAGACACAGATCTAAGGAAGAATGTAAAATTAAATATCTAACTGTTCTCTAACTCATGAGATGTTCCTATGCAATGGTTTAATCCCAAACTTCTATCCCATAGAATATTTGAAAGGTAACATGTAGATTTTAAGACAATGTCCTTCCTGTGACCATACTGTCAGCATCCTTCACACGAGGTAACAAACACTACATGACATCCAGCATTTCCATATTATTATTATTACAGTCAAAGAACTGCTGTGTAATCCACATTTATAGACTTTTAGCTTTAGGAAATGTTTATATTGTTGTTTGATCAGTTAACCACTTGTATTATGATTAATTCCAGGTTTGAAGGATGTAATATGAAATCAACACTCCTATTACTCCTCTCTGCTATTATTAGTGCAAGTAGTTTTATGTTTTTCCATTTAATGTTTTGTGGTCATGGTGGAAGAAGGATGTGCGAGTTTATAAGTAAACTCTAGATTTAAATTATTCTAAAGTTCAATGGAAAATTACTCTCTTCTCCAAGTGGAAACACAGGAGAAGATGGGTGACGCCCATGAAACATGCGCCAGCCCCCAGGGGATAAAACAGTCGTGAACCATTCACACATTGCCAAAAAAAGCCCCCTTTTTCTAAGGCTATTTTCTAAGCCTGTTCAGAAGCCAAAACCAGGCCTAAGCCTAAATCAGGATGACAAGAAGATGCGAGAAGCGAGAAACGATGCAGAAACTAGAAGCTGAGATCTTTGCTCAAAGCTCAGAGTCCCGGCTCAAAGCCCGGCTCTGTAGCCATGTAAACTCTTAGCTCTAAGCTGCTAGCCACAAACTCATGGCTCTTAGTCATTTTTGCACTTTTCGCGTCTTTTATTTTTCTTTGCCACAAGCTACAAGTAACATGATTTTTGTCTACATGCGCGATCTTTTATTTTTATAAGCCAAGTCAAGACCAACTGAACCAAAGCAACAGAAGTGCCTCAGAGTAATTTTGTAACTTTTAATCATCATCAAGTTTTCCTTTTTGAAGATTTTGACAACTTTAGAGTCATCTGGTCAACACCGGCCTCCTCTAAAGTTATCCAGCCAAAGTGAAGAGCATTAGAGTTTATTTCGCATCAACCCACGAGAGACACCAGCAGATAACATCTGCACGACCGCCTGCAGAGAAGCCAAGCAGAAATCAAGAGTGCCCGAGACAGAAAGTCTCCTGGCAAACTCCACCAGAGCTGAACCGCTGAGACACCGGCAGAATCCATCATCGTGATAACGGGACACGGCCTCCAGGAGAATCCACCTAGATCCCGTGTCTCCAGGGTTACCACGGCAACCACAGCCACCTGGGTTCCAGCCGAGGGTCCGCAGCTACAGCGCAACTCACAGTAGGCCGGTCTTAACACTCTGCTCATGACTGGGTTGATGTCGAAATATAGCAATATTTAATCATCAAACCTAATTCGTTGATGTAGCATCATTAGCTGTATAGCCATAGTGTATAGCAATAACATATCCTCTCCCACCATTGCCAACTCATCACACTGCTCATTTCATTCATATTATTATTTTCATCTTTATGATTATTACACCTTGCATTTACTCTGTAGATAGTAGTTTAGTTAATAAACTCTTTTATTTACACCCAGTTGTTGTCCTGTTGTATTCTTTTGACGTAGAGACTGGAGATCCATTGAATTGAGAAGTCATGGCTTCCAATATGAGATTGATAAATTTGGCAATGAAGTAATTCATTGTTGAGGACTGGTGCCCCATTTCAACGAGAGTAAATCCTAAAATATGGCATTAACGCTACATAAGCTTAAACCAATTTTTAATTAATCTGGCTATTTGTAGAATATGTTAATCAACTCAGCTGTGTTCAGTTGTTATGCACTGCATTGACTGTATTTGTGTCTTTGGGTCATGAATTGTTTTCTCCTCTTACTCTTCTAACACAGCTGCCATCAGCTGGTGTGTACAGGTCATTACCACAGGCATTTGGGAGGCACTTCACCAACAGCCTTAAAAAGGTTCTTAAATTAGACCTTATCAGATTTAGACAGATGTAGATGTAGATGTTTACTCTGGTGGTAAACACAAACATTAAAGGCAGGAGTGTCCCTGCAGCACCGATGGGAACATGCATAGCTGTCTTTGAATGTGGGAAGGTGGTGATGGTGGAGGGAACACATGATGACCTTTATAAGCTGGGAGGGGAAGATGCAGACAAAAAGCCTTTCATGTGTGTAATGGACAGTTTCAGCTTTTGCTCATAGATGCAGGTTGTGGGTGCAGGTTATGACTTTAACCAGACGTCTGTAATGACGTCTCTTTTTAAGGATTACAGAACTTAAGAACCCAGCCATTACTAAAAGTCTGGCATCTTTGGTTAAAGAGTCAGTTCACTGAAGTTACAAAAAATATATATTTCCACATTTTCTCACTTATCCCCAGTGTTTTCTAATGCATTTAGTTTCGGTTTTATGTGCTGAGATTTCGAGATATCCATGTCTACAAACTATGTGCCAACCCACTAATGTTTCCTGTCAAGAAAGGAAAACAATTCACAAAAACAGTGTCATGGTTAATTTACTACTTGACAGAGCTCACCATCAGCTGTTTTCATTGGCACTATTTGTTCTGTAGAAAGCGGTTAAAACAGTTAGCATTAAAATTTATTCTTGACCTTGGAAATAAGTTATCCACTTATTTGCTTTTTCAGAACTTTCACCTAGACTAGGTCAAAACCTAGTATATGGCTGGCTGATTTGATAACCACCATGTCATGTGACAAATTCACCAAACACATAAATTAAATACAAAGACTGATGTGATTTTATCTATATTTACTGAAAAATTATCACTCAGAAAGTTAGTTGTCTTTCTTACTCTGTCTCTCACACAGCTCACAGTTTCTGTCTGGGATCCACAAGTTTAGCCTTTATTTACCTCATCTCCAGAACATAACAGGCTTTTATTAGAGGTCTTTATTTCTAATTCCCTCTGTTTGATATTTATAATTGGTCATAGCGGTATTTTGGTACAAAGCCTTGTTTTGAGTCACTCCTGTTTGCCATGTTAAAGCTAAGCATTACATGTTAATACAAACTCAACACTTCCTGTGTCTCAAAGTGAAAGCCCTCTTGCGTTTCAGTGAGCAGAAACCCTTTATTTCTTAACAGGGCTTTTATTGTTGTACTGCAGTAAGCATATTGTCTCATTTCAAGTTGCTGGTGTTTCTGTTGTTGTACATGCCATTCAGATCTGCTAGTTTCTTTAGCAGATACCATTGACTTTGCTCTCTCCCTCGCACTGTCCGTCTCTGTTTCTGCTCAGTGTGTCTTATGTTTAGTTGTTTTTTTTTTCCTTTAGGCCGGCTTGGTAGACTGCCTGTAACAAGAGGTATAACTCTAAGTTCCAGGTTGGCATTAATACACAGTCCAGTCATGTGCCAGGTTTATACCCAGTTTGTTTGAAAAAAAGTCTCTAAATCTAGTGACAATGTGCTAGATTGGCAACACTGCAGGCTGTAAAGACCCCCTTAACAGAAACTGTTTGCACCAGAAACTCCAACTCAATGACGTGGCATTTGGCTGACCCATGGTGGAAATATGCTCACTCAGTCAGGCAGCCAGTCAGAGGCATTCCAGATTATAGTGCTGGCCCCACTGATGCGGTCCAGCTAAAAATATGTCTTTTTGTAATTTTACTTGAACTGACTCATCAAATGACTCAGAACAACAGGGAATGGTTGAACCAATAACTTGCACCCATAACATATAGTTTTATACTATTGAATACTTTCATTACTAACTTACCTCCGCATACAGTCCAGAGCACGGATGAAGAAATCCTTACTGAGCTGGTGTTCATCACGTAGGAGGGCACACTGCTCTAATGTGACAGACATGGATGTCCGGTCTTTGGCACTTTTACAGCTGGTGAACCTGATGCCATTTAATCTTCGGCAGATCTGGAGAGAAGAGAAAGATGTATGCAATGTTTATGTGCACCATTAGTGCAAACTCTTCCTTTTTTTGTTAGTATAAGTGATTCATCTTGTAAGGAGACTTGCCTTGTTTTACATATGCATGTTGTTCTAACACAAACTTCAAATAAGTTTGAAGTAAAAAGATTGATAATATGTTTTATTATAAAATGCAGCTATACATTTTGCATATAGTACTATACAGTAATAGTAAAATAACACCAATACTTTCAATTATTGTCTTCTGAAATAACACAGAGGGCTATTATGAGTATCATGCAAGTCCAAAGAGTCTTCCTTAGAAATTTTTATTTGGGTTTGTTCTTGAGTAGATATTTTTAGTTAGAAAATACACAAAAGAAGTTATTAGCAATGCGTGTGGCCATAAGGATGGCAATGTCCACCACTTTGGTCCAGACTGAATAACAACTGTTATAAAGATCATTAATAATTCCCAGAGGATGAAGCCTAATGACTGACTTTTCCTCTAGTGTCATCCACAGGTCAAAATTTAATTTCTTCAATACCTTCACTGAAGACCATTATACATGTAAAATTATACCATTTTAATATTAACATGTTAGCATTGTCATTTTGAGAATGTTAACATGCTGATTGTACCATTTAGCATAAAAGTACTACAGCTTCATGGACAACTTCACAGTAAACTATGTTTTGTTACAACAGATTCTTGCTGTGACCACAGCAAATCAGATGCAATGTAGGAACATATATAATAATTCACTGACAGTTACTGAATATCCGGTAAATGGTTAGCATCTGTACCATATAATTCTCAGAAGTAACAGCATGTTTGGGCAGCTCTGTTCCCATGATATATCAATATGTCAGCAGTGTTTACAGATTACACCCACCTTGGTTATGCAAGACAGAAAGTTTATATACACGGTTCAGAGAAAACTCTTCCTGTCAAGGATAGAAAGTTACAATAAAAACACTGCTCACCGTTCCAGCAATCCATAGTATCTCCACATTCTTTCTCTTCTTTGTGACTACATTCTGGCCCAGGGTTTCAAGTAATTCCTTTATGTCAGTCTGTGTTTGAAAACAAGGTAGACCTGTCCATAGAACACATGAAACACATTGCGAGTCACTGGGTCTGTTTCTTGTGTTGGTTTGGTTACAAATACAAGTTTATGGAGACAGGTACCGAAGTGGCTGCAGCTCTGATGTCAAACTCAATACATATGAAAAACAAAACAATTTTTCCCACACATCTTTGTGCAATTAATGCATGAGTTGCTTTGCACTCACATTCTAGTGGCACCTTTTCACTTAATGATTTGTAATAGGCTTCTAACATCTCAAAGTTCTTCTGGTTTATTCTTTCTTGAAGGGAGATATCTCCAAACCTGAGAGGATGACAACGGGAATTAGGGCAATTATGGTGGAGGAACAAGACACTCACTGAAACTCAAAACAAAACTCATTCAAAGTAACAGTAATGCGGAACAGTAAATGCTGCATTCAGAGAGAACAACATGATAAATGTAAACTTTTTGGTGGGATTATATTTGCAAATTAATTGCAGTTCTGCATAAAAATAAAATTTCTTCAAGAGTAAAGGATAAAGAATAAGCTGTGGACAACTCTATTTATTTATCTGATATTTATGAGTTTGAGACCACACTAGCCCTAGTTAACACGTTCATACAGAGAGTAGTTTTCTGTGAGTGCGTCAGATTGCAAGTTCTTCAGAGTGAACAAAGAAGTGTCTGCAGTACCTCTCCGCTATAGTTTGCTGTTCATTGATGCCCACGTTAAACAGCACCGGGAATACTCGTAGAGGCTTGCCCTCCTTGATCTCCTCTGGCAAGGTCTGGAAAACCAGTCTTGGTAACGGCACTTCTACAGTGAAGTGGTCTCTGAATGCAAGGAGAAAAAAATCAAAACAGAAGGTAAAAGGCAGAGAAAGATTACCCAGGAATTCATTAAACCTTGCAAATGATGCAGAATATGATAAGCTTTGGAAGTTGTACAATTTGACACCAAAGACAGGCCAGAACAAGCTGTAAAAAGAGAGAAAAGTGGTGTGCCCGCATTTGAGAAAGACAGCGCAAGTGTGTGAGACAAACTGCCTGACAGATTGTCATGGAGGTGGGTGGGGCAAGAGGAGTGTATCATCTTATCACCCCTGGCATAATGCACGTAGTAACCAGTTCTAATAAAACTGAACTTGTGGAAAATGTCTTTCAAGTGGTACTGAAAGGAATTCATGATCCACGTGACTCAACAATGACTTACTATGACAAACTGCTTTGGTATGACTGCACTCTTGTAACTAAGAGAATCCCTGAACACATTGTTCTATTCACTGGTGGACTAAAGTTCACCAGGATTTAAAAGTCAGGGCTACTTCCTCATTATCGGCTGTACAGGTCAGCTGTACTGCTTGGCCCAAGCTTTTATATTTCATGTCCTGTTCCTTTATTATGTATTCTCATGTATAGACCTGTAAAATACAATTATTTCATCACTTTCTGAACTCCTGTCTATGGTTTTATACAAGCATGACAGAGTTCTTATTTTATGTGACTTCGTGTTTGTTGTCCTGCATACCCTATGACTGGTGAGTTTTTAGGTCTAGCGGAATCATTTATCCTCGTTTAGTCAGTTAAAAGAATTACACACTCTAATGGTCATACCCTTAACTTGGTACTTTCTTCTGGTTTCTGACCAAAGAACCTAGAGTTAGTAGACGACTTTGTATCTGACCACAAAGCTGTTATGTTTTAAAACACCTCTTCCCTCTTGTATTTTAAAACCCCATCCCACCGTCTCGTCTCGTCGTCCATCCCACCACATGGTCTCAAATTCTTACTGCTGACTCTGCAGCCAAATTCAGTGATGCCTATTCGAATTTTCCCATTTCAACTTCTCCTCAGAAACCAGATGAACTATTAACCTCTTTTAACAGTCACAGCCTCTCTATTGTTGACCATACTGCTCCACTGAAAATTAGAAAGCTAATATCAAACACCTTAACCCTGGCTAAATGATCACACTTGATCATTGAACTGACAATGCAGAAAAATGGAATGGAAATAGAAGCTAACTAAATCTACTGTTACCCACAACACTCTAAAAGAATGTATGACAAACCATTAGAATATAGTAAAGTAAGATCAGCATATTTTTCGGACATAATATCCAAAAACAATCACAACCTCAGAGTCTTATTTAATGTAATCAATTCTGTCCTAAATGGTCCATCCAGTACAGATCTTGCACCTGAGAAAGATTGGACAGAGAAATTTGCTGCTCATTTAGTTGGGAAAACAGAGAGCATTCAGTCCCAAATTCACTGAATTCTTCCAACCTCCAACAATAATCTTCTAAGCTTCACTTTTACAGTTTTAAACCATTAACATCAGCACTACATAAAACAATTTCTTAAATGAAATCCTCTCTGTAGTGCTGATTTTATCCCTTTTAATTATTAACAGTTGTCTTACCTGTAGTAATTTTCCAACTTGTTTGATTTTGCAACAATACAGAAAAAATTACTTTGGATCCGCTATTACTTGATAATTACAGGCCAATTTCTAAATTATCATATTTATGAAAGGTGGGTGAGAAAGTTATTTCAACTGAATTAACATCCTTTATGAATAGTAATGATATTTTTAATAGCTTTCAGTCAGAGACAACCCTCATGAAGGTTTTGAATTATCTACTATTAATAGATGACAGAGGTGACTGCACAGTCAAGTCAATTTTTATTTATACAGCGCAGAATAACAACAGAAGATATCTCAAGGCACTTTTCATAAAGAGCAGTTCTAGACCGTCCTCTTTATAATATTGATTACAGAGACCACATAATTCCCACTATGAGCAAGCACTTGGTGACAGTGGCAGTCCTGGTGCTTTTGGATTGATCGCTGCCTTCAACACGATTGATCACTCCATACTCCTGCACTGTCTAGAAACCTGGGTTGGTCTTAAGGGAACTGCTCTAAATCTATTACGTTCATACCTCTCCTATAGAACCTTCTTTGTTGTCATAGCAAATGTCTCTTCTTTTGTAACCCATCTTAACTGTGGTGTTCCTCAAGGCTCTCTCCTTAGCCCTCTGCTATTTTCAATATACATGCTTCCTCTCAGCGAGATCATTCACAAACATGGAATCTCCCATCGTTCTTAGGCAGATGATATGTAGTTGTATGTCCCCTTTCAAACCAGCAGCCTTAATAATCTGTTTGCCTGCCTCAGTGATGTTAAATGTTGGCTGTCCCAACACTTGTAAAAATTCAATAATCACAAGTCTGAAGTCATAATAATTGATCTAACCATTTCTACCATTGTACCATTGCATCATTGTAAGCCTAAAGCCTAAAACATTAGTTATTTTTGATGCAGATCTCAGTTTTGATGATGAAGTAAAAAATGTTTACCAGTCATGCTTTCCACTCCAAAAAAAACAACAAAATAAACAAAATCAGACCATTCATGTGTCCTACTGATTTACATAAGGCCATACATGCTTTTATTTTCTCCTGTCTCGAGTACTGTAATGAACTTAATGCTGGCATCAGTCAGAGCTCCCTTCCCTGACTCCTGGTACAGAATGCTATTGCATGGATGTTAACCAGCATCAAGCGATAAGAACTCATTACTCCAGTAGCATAGTTCAGTAGAGTTTAGTTAAATGAAAGAGTAACAATTGGACACTCCCTATGATCAGGACCAAATGACAGTACAGTCCCTTTCTAGGAAGCTTCCTAGGAAATTGCAGCTACACATCAGGCCCTTTCTAATAAATTCTATGCAAATCATAAAGAATATATAAGACCCTTAAAATAAAGTTTCTCCCAAATCTTAAAATGAAAAGATTAAATTTTATTGACTGCTTGTAAATTTAATACTCATCAAGGGATTCTTGTTGGCAACTGGATGACAACAGACAGTTATCTGCTACTGTTACCCTGCTACTATGATATTACTACAACAGCTTTATCTTAAGGATATGCAATCATCACATAAAGAGACTGACATTACATGTGAGATTAAAGCACAGAAACAAACAGGGAAGAAGGGAATAATTTCTCACCGTCGGCCACACACTAAAGGCTGGAGGTCACTGAGGTCATCTGTCTTGGCCTCTGTGATCTTGAAAAGGACTCTTTGCAGGTCTGAGATTCCAACCTCCATGTCCTCCAGCATCCCAATCTCTTCACCTTAAAACAGTTTGGCAAAACAAGATCAGAGGTGATTTAATTCTTAATTGTCAAACACTGTCTGTCATTACTCAAAATGAGGTGAGTTCAGCCAAAACTTAAAAATGTCATAGGGCTATGATTCAGAAACTGTCCGGGTTCGATACTGCAGAGGAATTATTTGGTGGAGATGTGACAGATACACGGACCATAAATAGGGCAAAGGTATTAGCTGTTCTTATCTCTTAACTACCAGAAATCTCCTTCCTCTGCTTTCCTCGAGATACTGTACTTACCTTTCACCTCGAACAGGCTTGGTAAATTGATTATGCCAATCTTGTTTTTTCTTATAAGCTGATCACTCATCATCCTAGCCGGGCTCACCTAAATGAAACTATTAGGGTTCTAAAAATCAAAAACAAGTGAAAAGCTACATTTTTGAGGTTGCCAGTTCTGTTTTAACTCTTACAAACGTACTCACTGTATGTGCTGAGCAGGCTCTCAAACTGGGCTACCAGGCCAACCAGGTGGAGCTGCCTCATGAATCCTTTGTCCTGCATTCCTGCATACAGCCTCATGACGAAACCACAGGCTAAGGCTGCCAGCTGATAAAAGACACACACACACACAGTTTTAAACCACATCATATTGGCATACTTAGCTGCAATACACGGATAATCAGGTCAAACAGCCTCACAGCTGTATTCATATCACATTGTTTGAGTTGTCATATTCCAATCCTGAAGAATGTTGTCATTCCTATTGTAGCTGTTTGTTTTGAGTTTGTTGAAGTGAACTGTGTACAAAACCTCCATATTTTCTGGCTTTAGAATATTATATTTTGGTGTAAAGATAAACCAAACTTCAATCTGTCAAATGAATGGAACCTGTGAAGTGAACCTCTACAGATAAATGATTTAAACCTTTAAAATATTATGTTTCATGAGGTATTTTGACTTGACAGGTAAAATGTTGGCATTTGTGAACATTTAAATAAGTCTGGGGAAAAGTCGTTGTTTGGACAGGCTAGGCAAAAACTTGGACTTGCAAAGAGTAGCGCTGAGCGTATTGCACTTTGGACCAAAAAGGACAATTAGATAATAAACTGCTTTACAGCTCAACTGGCTAATATTTAAAATATCAAAGCATTATACTTTAAAACAATAAAAGGAAAGGAATAAAAGGAAAAAAACCCTCAGATGAACTACAACAAACACATTACTTAAGAGACCTTGGCATCCTCTTAAAGAGCTGTTATGTCATTGTTGCCACCTACTGCCTGACTGAAGACCACGTCTCGCCTCTGTTGGAGGAGGAAGCCCTGTGGTATGCTGCAGGCTGCCTCCTGCAGAAGCACAAAAGTCATGGCTTTCTTAGCCTTCTCCACTACCTCCATCACACACTCCTTTAACCTGGTCACCAGAGGACACAGCTGCTCCCTCCAGTCACCTGCAGAGAAAGACAGCATGGGGATAGGAGAGGGGGTGCAGACAGAGATGGAATGACAGTTATGATGTGGTTGTGGATTACCACAAACTATTCATGTTTCCTTGACAATGAGGAAGAATTACAGGAAGGGAGAACTGCAAAGGAAATCAAACACACATTTCAAAGTTTGACAGAAAGCACAGTCAGCCATTAACTTTAGGACATACAAAAACACATACAAAAACAACTTTTTGTCAACATGAAATAAAACTGATATATACAGTATGGTCATTAAATTATAAACACATGCCTCAGTATTTTCTTTATTGTTAACCACAGCAAATAATAGCAAATCATTTAATGCATGATACCACATTTAATGTACCTCTTGGATTTAAAGTACTATTGTTTTTGTAAAGCCAACTCCTTCCTCTGCAACAAGCAGAAAGTGTTGGATCTTCAAAACTCAAAACACACCTGCTTTTTTGGTTCATGTAGGCACAGCAATGCAAAGTGCAATGGGCTGGATAAAGTATAGATATGGATTGGAAGGTGTGGTGGTAATAAATAAAAAGAATAAATACACACAACCAGTCACATCATTGGTGCTATACTTAAAAAAAAAATAAATAAATAAAAATAAATAAATGAAATACTTGTTTATATGACTGCACCAATCTGACGCTATCTCAGTTATAATTGTAAACTATATAACATCCTAAATTCTTACATCATATCATAGTTAATATAATACAGTACCATTTATTTTTCAAGAATAAAACATCAAATGTCATGTTTCTTAAAAGAAAGAGAAATAATTTGGGAAATACGTGTAACGACCCTGTGCTCTAATGTAACACTTCTCAAACCAGAGGCTGCAGATTTATCAACATGTCTGTCTTTCAGAGAAGCTTTTCATACAGTATAAAGCAGCTGTGAATAACGGGTACAGTTAGAATCACTCATTAATTTATACATCAGTGCAGACTGCTTTCATGACTTGCCTACTATATCCACATTAAACATTTTATTTTGTCACCGCATTGGCAGCAGAGTGACTTTGAGCCAGAAAAAGATGCAGTTCTGAGACATCTATTCTCAGTGCAATGTCTAACAGCCAATTTCAACCAAAATACCAACAACTCGCTTTGTGCTGAGTGCTGACTAATTTGAATGAACCTCCCACTGGTTTGTATCTCTCTCTCTTCCCACCTTTGCACCCTGTGCTCTGTTTTCACACAATCAATTGCACATGTAGTGTTGATGTGTTAAAACTGACTCAGGTTGATGGACCGCTAACCGGTTATTGTAAATTATTAAAGATCAGCATCACACCAATTACTCCTGTTTGTGTATTTTCCCATTTAACACACATATGTGGATACATTTTTTAATCAAATAACAAGTGGTTGAGTTAGTTGAGAGTAGTTAATTTAATTAGATAAGCTAATTAGTGTGTGTTGTGTGTAGTGAGTGTTCCATGTACCCCCTGGCAGCAGAAGTACCCCCTGGAGCACAAGTGCCCCTGGTCGGGAAACACAGGCACTATTTACTTTATACTAATTGTCATAATCTACTGATTTAATATTTATCTAATACGTATTAACTGTTGCAGCTGTGATTATCTCCTCTATTTCATTCAGTATTCCACTGAGACACACTCAAAGATCAAATGAGTTTGGTATGGATATTGACCTCTCTGAGTACGATTCATTTTGTCAAACTACTCAAAAGCAGATTAGAAATAATATGTAGGAATTGGGACACAGCTATAGTGTGTTCATGGTGTCTTATATGCATTTCCTCCATCTAGAACAGGTTTCCTATACTCCCCTCCCTAACCAAAAGGGGGCAGTGTTGGATAAATAATCTTCCAATTGAGTTTTCCCACCACGCATTCTGTTCAGCTTCAACATATTGAAAAGTTCTTGGGGGAAAGCAGGGATCAGTGTGGACGGACACACACACACACACACACACACACACACACACACACACACACACACACACACACACACACTGAACAGTTGGATACGACCAAGAATGTATAACACATCAGGCTTGCCCTCGTCTTGTCAGAGAAATCATGTCTTATCTCATTCTGCAAATACCGCCTCTGCACAGAGAAGGAGGAAACAGAACTCCAGCTGTCATCTCTTCGCCAGCCCACCTGTCCAAACATCTAAACCCCACAACACCTTGTCATCAAAAGCCTGGGCTTCACCGTTCTCCGCTCGGAGATAAAGCATCTCTCATTATTCTGTCCATGTTTGTATTTAGACAAGCAGATGACCACTTGCTCTGAGCCTGTTCAGCGTCTTAATAAAGGTGCTCGGGGGTTGAGCTTATCTGTCAGACTGAACACAGGCGGATAGCCTTGTTCTTACCTGCCAGTTCACTTGGACAGACAGACACACGGAAACACACATGCACAGAGGCACAAAATGATACCAGCACACCAACACTTTCAGAGATGCCTGAACGTGCATTTGCCTGTGACACACCAAGTTTGTACAACTATCTTTGTGGGGACCCGTCATTGACATAATGCATTCCCTAGCCCCTTACCCTAACCTTAACCATCACAAGTAAATGCCTAACCTTGACCCTTACCCTAACCTTAACCTAATTCTTACCCTACCCCTTAAACCGAATCTTAAACAAATAGCCCTTTAAACTCGCGAGGTGCAGCATTTTGGTCCCCACAAAGCACCCCACAAGTATAGTAAACCAAGCACAGACACACACAGAGCCTCTCCTTGTCGCCTGGTCAGACTAATGCTGCTGCTGTGTATGCCAGTTGGCAGCTGTAACAGGCTGGGTACTTGTCTGGACACAAGCTTGAGGCAGGATTTCACTGGACGTAAGGGGAGACTGGGCAGCTTGTGTTTAACAGTGAATGGCTCTGCATATCAAATATTACTTTCATCCACTTCTCTGGCAACAACTTAAGTTTTTGCTAATGCTTAAACAACAGAGAGTCTCGAGTCTTGTGTCACTCCTGTCGACTGACGCTGCAGATCGACTGAAAAACAACGACTGTTCATTGTCATTTCTCTCACAGTGAGAATATGTATTTGATTTTGTGTATTAATTTATTCTCTTTTTTTGGCCGAAAAGCTTCTCAAGCTAAAATTAGCTGGTGTTTTGTGATGGGAACAGATATGTTGCTAATAATATTGATGGATAAGCATTATACTACAAACATAAATGTGAAGGTTATAACCTACGATGCATCACAATATCTGTTCAACTGAGGAGGAAAAACTACCTCTGAGTTTGGGAATGTTTCTGTCTAGTGACTGGAGAGGATTGCAAATTTCTGTACTGACCAGTAAACATCAGATAAGATCAGTTACCTGCCAATGTGAAAACGTGCAAAACATACATACATAACCGCATTTAATAGACGTTTCTCACTGACGCTGATGATTGTGCTTTACAAAAACTGTGACTTACCAGGGTTGTGTGAGGTGATGACATCAGCTAGCTGCTGCTCAGGGACTGTCTCCTGTTTGCTGTTGTCTTCCTCCTGGAGTTTATCCACCATGGCGATGACACAGTTGAGACATTTGGCCACGTTGGCCCACACCCTGTCCTAAAAGAGCCAAATACACAATCAGCAGTCAGATCAGCCTCACTGATTAGATCACTCTCTCACACTCAGAAAACAGAAATAATACCGAAAGACTGTTACATCAGCTGATTCCCTTCCCTTCTGTTCAAAAACAAAGAAAAAAGGTGTTTCCCTTTACAGCCTAAACTGGCTTTGTGTCCGAAAGGTCAAAAGGAAATTGCTGTCTGGATATTCTGAGAAAGTGTTTCCATTGTTTACAGCTTTCTCTCTCTTTTCCTGCGCTCCTGCCGATCACTGACGAATAGACGCTTTCACTTTCATGTGTGTGTACAAAGATGACAATCCAAGCGTGTGTATGCATTGTAAAGGGGTGGTGTATATTTTGGTCTTTGTTGCTTCAAAAATATGATGTGAACGCGTTATAACAGTGAAGAATATTTTGGGAGATAATTAGGCATTGGTGTGCAGAAATCATGATAAACTCCTGCTGTCAGTGTGGCAGACACTGTCCTCATGCAAACAAACCAACAGTCATACACACTTTAATGACAAGAAGCAGCACGACTTAGATTCAGTGACAAGGATACCATGCAATAATTTTCTGCAGCCAGTTTGTCATGATGAAATGTATAAATTCCTTTGAGAAAAGCTGTCATTAAAATGAAAAAATAATGTGTGGTATGCAATCTAATTTTGCAAGTAAATGAAATTATTTGACATAAAAATGGTTTATCTGTAATACATCTTATTTCCCCATGTGTACACTACTCTACAGTGAGGACCAGCAGTAAAAAATGTTTGTCAGATTGTAGTTTAATAAATAAAAACCATAAAAAGTCACAGCTTTAATGGAAGATTTCTTAATGACTTGGAAGTCAGACTCACCCATTCCTCCTCGTCATACTCTTTATGATGCGGTATGGAGTCTTGATGCTTCAGAGGCAAAGGCCCACCTTCTCCTCTAGTTGTGGTTTGTGATCCTTCCACATTATTACACACCAACGTGCTCTCAGTGACTGGCGTGGCTGGACTGTGACCTGGAAGTCCCTGGACTGGACTCTGATTCTGGTCACTGTGCTGGTGGATGTGGCCTTGATGTTGACCTGCCTGCACTGGGGTTTGCTTCTGGTTCTTGGAAACATACCCAGGCTGCGCTGTATGCAGTGCTAGTAGTGCACTCTTGACCAGTTCATCTTTAAGTGTGTGAACAAATTGTTCCGTCTGTAGCAGAGAAGAGAAAGAGAAATTGGAAAAAAAAAAGAGAGGTACTGAAAGTTACTGTGGGGTAGCACGAAAAAAATAAAATTTAAGCGGTGAAAAAGCAAGAGACATAGTAGGAGAGAAGGAGACTGTCACATTGGTGGAGAGTGGGTGGAAGAAAACACAGGTACAAGTGAACTTGGAAGCGGGTAACTATTTACAGAGCGAGTGAAAAGAAACAAGGAAAATGAACACTCTCCTTCACCATAAAGTAGCTGCTCTCCATTACCACAGCACAGCCAGTGAGCAACAAAAACAGCGACAAACAACAAACAATTCAATTACTCCTCCTCCTGCCCGCTTCTCCAGGAGCACACCTCCTTTGATCTCAAATTCACCAGCTACTGTAAGTTGATGATGATCCCGGTACCAAGGAGCCTCGCGCTGGCTGCCGCCACTGCGTAAAAAAATGATAAGGGCTCTCAAGAGTAATTGAGTTAGTACTGCAATAAGCAATTCTATTACCACAGCAAAATGCAGTCTAAGAAAACACATGAGCCAAGCCTCTATGAAAAGAAACCTTCATGGTCATTATATACAAATATTTGCCACACAAACGCCTACCTCCCTGATGTGGACAGAAAAGTGAATGAGTTTGTTGAGACGGCTGGAAGCAAAGAAGTAGATCAGTGTTGAAAAGAACCCCAGGCAAGTCCTGCCCTGGCTCTAGAGAGACTTCGTATGGATCTCATAAGGAATTGATTCTGAACTTTTTGGCTTACGACCCCCTTAAAATGAAGCAATGTCGACTTGTGATCAGTTTTAACAGGCTGCATGTTTTTTCTTCTCTCATATAATCATATATGAACCCCTTCAGCTTATCTTTTAGTCCTTTGGTGAGTTGCGACCACCATGTTGGGAATAACTATAAAAAGGTTTAGGGCCATTTACTGCTCTAAACTTTTCCATCTCATATTTACACTTAGTGTGAATACATCACTAGACATCAATCCAGTATGCAACTGTTGTAAAATGATCCCATGCCCCCAGTGTCTTCACACTTTTTGGAACTGCCCCAAGCTAGCAATTTAGTTTAAGACACTTTCAGAGGTCCTTGAAGTCACTATAGACCCCTTTCATATTATAGCTCTTTTTGGAATACCCTCTGATATCTGTTCAAGCCAGTGTGACTTCTTGGCATTCTGTATGCTGCTTGTCTGTCCTCTAATTCTACTGAAATGGAAGGAAGTATTTCCTCCAAATCATATGCAATGGATCAAGAATATCTTATATGAGGCTGAAAAAAAATTTGGCACACACTGCGAGGCTCACCTGGTAAATTCTGTAAAATCTGAAGACCTTTTCTGAGATATGTAGCAGAGGAGCTATGAGTTCCATGAGAACCCTTTGTGCAAATGTGATTATAAGATAATGGTACTGTCTAAATGTCAAAGGTCCCGCTCTGATGGACCCTGAGAACTAGGATAGTCTCTCTTAAATTGTTTATTTATTTTTCATATTTTAAAATATATTGTAATTGTTTACTTGTATTCATATTTTCTCTTATTTGCTTATCTACTTACTTTGTATGCGGGTGGGGGGTGTTTTATATGCGTTTTTGTATGCTCATTTAAAAATGCAATAAACATAAAAATATATATATATATATATATATTTGTATGTAGTTTGTTCACTTTTTCAGCTAAGCGATCACATCACTGTTCATAAGGCTGTGACATCCACCGCTATTTCAGTGCAGTAGTATGTTCAATCTGTTGCTGATTTCAAACTGTAACACATTCAGTAACACAGCTAGGTGTAAATGAGCACTGTTTATAAGCTTAATAGCTTAACAGCAGCCAACAGAGTTATCACATCATGATCATTTCTGTGGCTTTCATATGCTTTCAGTAAGCTTTTACAGAAACCAGAAATAATCCCGCTTTTAGTCGTCAGTGAGGGGCGATCCAAAAAGCTACTGATCCAGTCAGTAACATTGATGATTCAGTATGATCAATTCCCTTTGAAGAATCTATGTCAAAGAATCACCTGTCAATGTCCTGAAAACCTTGACCACCATTCACCTTTACTCCACTACATCTACACTTGGAGGAGTCATGTCCTACCTCCTATCCTCATATGGGCATGCACTTAATGCGGACCCTTCACATCACTGAGGTCTACTGTTATACACGTGAAACAGACCTCACCCCTGTGGTTCCCAACACTGACCCGTTACTTCTGTTACCACTTTTCACAAATCTGACCCATAGTTTTCACTGAGGAGAAACCGCTGACTCTTCCACACACTCTGTCAGACCTTCCACAGTGTTCCTCTTGTGATGCAGCTACAGTCTGTTTCAGTCACGAAAAAAACAACACAATTATTGGTCCATCTGAGCCTGGTTTAACTGTTCTGTTCTTGATTCAAAAGCTATAAAGACTGTTACCCACACTGAATGGGCCATTTGATGAATGCTTAAGCAGAGAAAGCAAACGATGACTACGCTTAAAACACCATTGTATTTAATTCATATCCATTTTAATTGCCTCGCATGGATCCAAATGAGTTCCATTACTGTAAGTCAATGATGTGAGAGCTAAAATCTATGGATAAGAAGAAATGTGTAATCGCCTGAGAACAGGCAGTTCTGCTGGAATACCGTTCTGTGATTCACACATTCGTATACAAAGAAGTAAACATTGTTTTAAAGATGAAAACGTCGAAATGACTAAAAAATGACTTAACAGAACACTTAACAGGAACTGGGAAATCAAAATGTACATTTATATTCAAATTGAACTCTGCTTATCTGACCTCAATGTTAATTTGCAATCTATGAGACCATGTATTATTCATTATCTTTCCTGAGATGAGTGAGCAAAGACACACACATTGTTTAAAACAATCTGGGTCATATTTGCACTTCTTAATGCAGGGTCACAGAACTCATGTACATGACTGTGCCAGTGCTTATACAATATTTTCTATGCTGGTGAACTTACCTTTGGCTAAATGCTTTTTTATGGATTTTTGTTTGTGGATAAAAAGGTAGTGGATAAATTACATTAGAAGTCAAGTGTATCAAGTGAATGAATTAAGTCACTCTTCATTCAGCTACATTCCTAAATATCCAGTCAGTGCCAGGTTTGTATCCTTTAAGATTAGGATCTGCAGGGATTTGAAGAAAACATTTTAATGATATACTGCACTGCAGGATCCATATAGATATACTGTTCAAAGTGAAATATCAGAGGTGTACTCCTTTGGGCAAAGGAAAAAATCATTGCAGCTTCATTTTCTTATCAAGGCTAAACCAAAGCAACTTTGCTCCTCCACGTGCAGAAACTACTCCTCAGTGTAGCTCTTCAACACCTACCTGTTTTAGATATCTCAAACACTCTAAAAATCCCTTGGGAGAAATTCTGTTGCTAGTCTTTCTTCAATATATCTGCTGATGTGATCTTGACTGAGCAGAAGTGCAAATCAGAAAACACCTCTGTGGACTGCGAAAAAATAAGTTACATTTGATCTTAAAAAAAAAAAAGAAGAAGAAAACTGTAGGAATCTATTCACCCGAACGGTTCTGAATGGTTTTACCCTGAAGGATGAGCGAAATTTGGCTGAGTTAAAAATAGAGCTTTTTCACTCGGTGGAACATCACAGGAGAGGTGAACGGAGGCTGCATGAATAGCGCTGGTCAGATTCCAACAGCACTTGGCTGTGAGGACACTCACTCACTATTGCGTATATGACCTCTATACACCATATAATTTAACATAATCATGCATAGACAATCAAAGCCACAGCTCTTCCCAGGTAACTCTTACGGCGGAGACATATAACTTGTCCTAGGACACAGCTGGAGGGAGGGGAGATGCGTGGCAATTGCCTTTCACTCTGATTATCATCAGAGTGAAATTATTATTATCATCATCAACAGAATCATCATCATATATAGAGAAGCAACAGCACATCTGCTGTGCCCAACACTAATCAGAGTGTGGCCAGGAGAAGTATTCTGGAGTGAAATATTGAATTAGACCTGGAGTCAGGTGGTCTGAACCAAGAAGGAAAAAGTCAAGAGACAGCAAGTGCCTGATAAAAAAAAAAGCTTCTTACATCCTCCTTTTTTCTGGAAGTGTCTCATCTTTTCTCTGAAGGTGTGACTCACTGTCTTTACTTGAAGTAACTTCAGACTCACTGCAGTCACCCACTCGCAAATACATTCACCTTTATTTGTATGTCTCTAAGATGGATAACAAATGCTGCCTGACCAGAAGTGTGAGGATGGGATGTATTTTCTTTGGTGTGTTTTGGTGATTTGTCTTCCTTTTTTGCCACATTTATGTTTCTTTTTTTCTCATGTAAATCGAGCATGTAAAGATAGACGGTGGTGTATGTTGTGAAGTTTGTCAAAGGAATAGCTCGACATTTCTGGGAAGTATGCCTATTTGCTTTCCTGCTGAGAGTTCGATCAGAAGACTGATGTCACTCTTATAGTAAATGTGTAGCTGGGTGAAACATATTTGTTAGCTTAGCCTTGCATAAAGACTGGAAACAGGAGGGAACGCCCTGGCTTTCTCCACAGGTAACAAAATCCGCCTACCAGAACCACTCAAGTTTACCTATCATCATGTTGACGCTTGTTTGTTTAATCCATACAAAAGCTGAGGTGTAAAAGAGTGAGCTTCAGAGCTGCTGGTAAGTGGATTTTGTTACCTTTGGAAAGAGACAGGGTATCTGTTTCCCCCATTTCCAGTCTTTGTGCTGAGCTAAGCTAACAGGCTGCTGGCTATAGCTTCATACGTAATGGACTAACACGAGAGTTCTATTGATCCTTTAATTTAATTCTTGAAAAGAAACCGCATACTGCAGTTCCCAAATTGTCGAACTCTTCTTTTAATTCTCTTTGAATCAAATTTGTGATTTTGGGGAGTAGCAGTGAAGCTGACTAGACTAGACTTCTGATTCCACAGGTGTGTATGTGTGTGAACAAGTGACCACGTGTCTGTGTGTG